GGTTTAGAGAGTATAATGATTGTAAGGGACTCCCCTGGTGCTTGCTCGGAGATAAATAACTGTAGAAAGAAGGGGGAAAGGCATTTCAAGTTGTATAAAAAAATGAACAATCGGCGAAGGGAAAGGTTGCACAAATTTATTCCACGGTAACTTTCGTCGAAATACGACACACAAGTAACTGCATTGTGATAGGAGTTGTCGACTATTGTTCCTTCATATTTATCATTTTCGGCATGCAGTTGGAATAAGAGTGAATTGAAGTTGATGATGATTGGACTAGTCGCGGATGTCATACCAACTGCAAATAACACTACAAGCAGAAATTATAAATTTTTGGCTGAAAAAATATGCGCAATCCACACATCATTGACTTATGACAAAACATCATTCATCGATCCTTACTTTCCGCTTATGCCACAAACGCGAGTTACAAATGATTTATAAAGCCTTATCACTCATGATCGTCTATTTCACTTTTTTACCTCTTCTCTAATGAACTCTTTAAATCAAGAATAGCAATATTGGCAATGCTCATCCTCATCTGGAGGCTAAATGTCCTTTCCATTTAACATCTAATCTAATGACTTGTGATCATTTGTAATCTTGACAGAAATAAGCCCTCCAGGTTTACTCACAAGCAGACTCATCTTCCGACATCTACAAATATTTCCTTCAACTGGAACCCAGTCAAGATGCGAGCAATATTGTAATGTACAACTGTACACTGCTTATCATGTTGCAGGTATTTGGATTCCTTATTATGCTGTCACTCGTTATCATCAAATATTTGGTTGCTTTAACGATAATGTAAGCTAAAGTGTTTGCTGTTATTGTATTATTCATTAAGTATACATATCTGCTAATGTATTCTTTCACTTTCAGTGTAGTATTATCAGTTACTGAAAAAAACGGCATCTTGAAGTGATCGATGAATCATGTAAGTCGGCAGTAGCATTTGACTGTATAAGGTAAACTTAAGGCCAATAGAATATAGAATGCAACGCCAAACAAAGCACTGAATAATTTTAAAATCTGCACAATCATACAGAGGCATTTGGAGAAAATGAAACAATTATCCATAATAATAGTAGTAATAGGGAGGATAACCGTAGGAATAAGGAGAGTAACCGAAGTATGGATAATAATAACCATATGGAGAAGAATATGGGAAGCCTCTACCATAAGCTGACCCTAGTAATGAAGCTAGTAAAAAGGTTGCAAGTAAATCTGAACGAGGAAAAGCTTGAGGAGGTTGAGGAAGTTCTTCAGCTTGATTGCTTCTCTGACCAAAACCAGAAACCACCTGTTCTGCGTTACCATTGGAGAACACTCTCTTAAATTTAAAACAAAGTCATACTGGGAATGTTAATGCTTAAATGAACACTAATGCTTAATATGTTACAATATGTGA